AGGAGGTGAAAGGAGACAATTTTAGAGAAGAAAATTTTTCGGTCGCTACACGGATTCGAACCCGGGACCTTTGAATGAGAGGCTAACACCTTAACCTCTAGGCCACGAGAGCTCCCCAGCGTATTTTGACTGCCAATCTTTGGTGTTTGGTATATTTCAGGAGCTTAAAAAAAACATCTTTCCTACATAGATCTTGTTTTGGGTTATGAAAAGCATTGTTACTAAGTAGAATTACTGAACCAAGGGGGATAAATTCCATTGTCTTTTTGGGGGGTCTTTTGAATGTTACATGGTTTTTATTTAAGAATTTGACCTCTATCTATTTTGTTTTTTGTTGATCTTACTTGTCCCGGGTTGGGGCATTTCTGAAGGCGAAGATTGGTCCTTCACCTACAGGAAACAGTAATGATGCTTGACAGTGACATGTGACAAAAAGGGCACATCCCGAACTTCTGCAAGCCAAAAACTTTCACAAACACACTATACCAAAGACGACGATTCATGTTTGAGAGTCTACAGATGGGGGAAACAGGTACCGATCCATGGGAAATCTATTTCCCTGATTTTGATCTGTTGTGTTGATTTTTCCTCCAGCGTCCGCTAGTTTGAAACTTAAGAATTTCCTTGACTGGAAACAAGATTGCTGACCCAAGGGAGCTAATTTTTCTCTAAAGTAAGACAACAGTTCAGAGAACTGAAAGGGTATTTCTTTTATTTGTAAAAATGTTGTTGCTGCTTTTGTTGCATTATTTTCATTTTAGTGGGAAAGGAGTGGGCACGTGTGGTTTTACTTAAATGCATACCAGGCCTTCAAAATATAATAATTTTAGTCTCAAGAACTTGACAAAGAACAGGGACCCTTTGGTGTCGAAAAATTGCATTAGTTGGTTATTGAGTTTTAATGTTAACTTATCGCTCTACTCGACACTGAATCTTTCTCTGTCTTGACCACTCTGTCATCAAAATGATTTTTTAACCCGGAAAGAATAAAAAAACGAAAATTTTAAATGCACTTAGATGCAAAACGATGTACTTAGGCCTGTAGGTCAAGTTCGTGATCAGCTAGATAAAACCCGTTCTGTATCTAATTTTTTAAAGCGTATTTTGACAGATAAAAATTTGAAAGTTGAGAAGTTCCTTAACTGCAGAGACTTCAGACGACAAGCTATGCAGAACGAGTATCGGGTTTTTAAAAAAAAGAAAAAGAAAAACCATACGACTACTGGATCGTTGACACATACAGCCTAGCTTCTAATCCTAGCTTCTTTCTATTTGATTTCACTTAAAGTTTACCCAAAGCTGTTGTGTAATTAATTACATGTTTTTTCCTTCACATGCCAATCGCGCAAGAGAGACTTAGATGAAGCAAGACTGGCCACAGTTTGTCTCTAGTTTCCCTTACAAAGAAATGCCATTTCGAAAAGACTTTTGAAACCGTTTGTCTTTGAGGGGAAGTCATACAATGACTATGTTTCATTAACTGAAACATTAATGAAAATGTACGATCTTACGGTATTGGTGTAAAATCCGTTTTATTCACTATAAACAGGCATGGCCTTAAAATTAAAACCTTGGGATCCAGACAATTTGATCAAGAGCCTTCAAATCCCTCTAATAGAGTGCCCATCTGGAGAATGGAACGAGATTCATTAAAAATACACCATGGCACAGCGTGAGGCCACCTGACCTAACGGTGCACAAAAAGGAAGTCAAGTGTGTATCATGCCATCATTCAGAATGATTCTCATCCCACTGTCTCCACTAAGATAAAGAAAATGGGTTGGGGTTTTTTTTAGGGGGGGGGGGGGTACAACGTTAGTTTGTTATTCTTTGATTGCCTTTTGAAGTCCCCATAGGTTAATTTAAATCTTTCTAGAATTCCTTGTCTGGATACCCTGAATAAACGAGAGAAATAAAGATAGGACAGACTTATGAATACTTCACTGGCAGAAATTAACAGTATACTGTCAACTGGTTGTGGGACACCAAATACCTACATACACATGATGAAAGAATCAATGTTGGTTTCTTTAAGCGTATTTTGACTGCCAATTTTTTGTGTTTGGTCTATTTCATGAGCTTTAAAAAAACAACATTTTCTTACATAGATCTAGTTTTGGGTTATGGAAAGCATTGTTACTAGGCAGAATTACTGAACCAGGGGGATAAGTTCCATTGTCTTTGGGGGTCTTTTTGAATGTTACATGGTTTTTGTCTAAGGATTTGACCTCTATCTCGCGTGTTGTTGTGTTGTGTTGTGGGTTTGTTTTTGTTTTGTTTTTTGTTGACTTTACTTGTCTCGGGTTTGGGCATTTCTGAAGGCGAAGACTGGTCCTTCACCTACAGGAAACAGTAATGATATTTGACAGTGACAAGTGACAAAAAGAACACACCCCGAACTTATGCAAGCCAACAACTTTCAGGAACACAATATACCAAAGAAGACGATTCATGATTGAGAGTCTGAAGATGATTTTTTAACCCTGAAAGAATACAAAAACGAACATTTTAAATGCACTTAGACGCAAAACGATGTACTTAGGCGTGTATGTCAAGTTCGTGATCAGCTAGATAAAACCCGTTCTTTATCTAATCTTTTAAAGCGTATTCTGACAGTTTAAACT